CAAGTACAGATAAAAACCCAGTAGTGTCTTAATATTTCTACTGAGTTGAGATATGAGCAGCTGCAACAGTTGAGACCATTGTATCCATACCACAAATATTATGACGTCCCCTGCAGATTTTGTAGTAACCGTGCTCGCCCCACATCGCTCCCCACGAGTTCTTTATGATCCAATAAGGCTTCTCCTTAAGACGGATTGGTGCATAACCCGACTCACCAAACCCAACCAAGAGTACTCCATGGTCTTGGCTCTTTGAACATATATACGGACACGAAACTCCTCCAATGTAAGTTTGCATCCACATAGCATTGATAGCAACTGTGTTTAACAAACAAAAATAAAATCTTGTGTTAATTAACCTCTAATTCTTGAATTTGTACTAAAGGAAAAGAGTTAAAAAAAATTTCAAACTTACTAGCTAAAGGACCATGCTTGATTAGATTTGCAGCGATTTGGTCTTCATCCGCAGAGACAACACTGAAATTAGCCACACTTGCAGCGATCTTGCTCTTGTCGAAATTGCAAACGGAATGGTCACGTCCTGTGTAAGGGTAATCTTCTTCCTTCATAAGACCACCAGCTTTGAGAGCGTACTCAAAAGCATTGTTCATTAGTCCTCCACTACAACCAGAGTCACATGAATTGGCTTCTTCTGGATCACACTACAAGAAAGAGCAAGAAACATATATAACTTAGTCACAACTACTTTACCAACTATGTCAATAAGGATCCAAATCTTAAGGACCAAATCATCTAAAACTTTGCTTCAATATGTTACTAAAATTAGAAAAAAAAGGTGAGATTAAAAACAAACCTCATGGTCACAATCTACGAGCTGCTGCTCACTGAGGCTAACAAGCTCTTTAGTCGCTAGAAAATGTGCTCCTTCAAGAGCTCCAGTTGCGCTAAACGACCAGCATGATCCACACATACCCTTAACACATCAAACACACAAAATCACAATCTCTTATCATTCGATTCTCTACACAAATCAAGTCCATGAGCGATTTCCAAAAGCTGATTCATGAGCGATTACGATTAACCCTAAAAACAAACCTGGTTTTTAACAGGAGTGACGGCTCCTTGTTCACGCCAATCGAAATCCGTCGGAAGTTCGCTAGTAGGAAGAATCGGAGCTTTCTGAGTATCAGTAGGAAGACGGAACCGTCGTTTTAACCCTAGATAATTGCGGCGGAATTCCTTCGGAGTAAGATCTGAGAACTGAGTAACGCCGTGTACAGCAGACGGATCGAGGAGCTGGTGACGCTTAGCTCTCCTTAGATTAGCTTTGAAGACACGGAATCGATGATCGTGTTCTTCCTGAGTAGCGTAAGTCTTCTCGTACTTGGATTTGAATAGAGTGAAATGGTGTTCTGCGTTGAGGAGTTGTTCATCGCTCTTTACCTCGGGGACGACTTGCCTGATCGGATTATCTAATCCGTCGTTTACTTCGCCGGAGATAACGGCCAATAAAGTGGCTGCGATGAGGAAGAAGAAGACCACACGATCCATTTTTTTCTTTGCTTCCAAGAGATAAGGAAGGAGAGACTTTGAGAGAAGAGGAAACAGTTACGAGCTATGTTAAAAGGAATGAGAGAAGACACGTGGCGTATGATAATTGGCTGTCTTGTTTGATATTTCTTGGGGAAAACGACGACATGTGAAGTGACACGTTGCTTGTTGCTTCTTAATATCTTCGTCAGCTATGACGATTTTTTATATTATTAATTTTCACCCAAAAATCTGAGGGTAAATTAGTCATTTAACATTCACTCTCTAATTCCAAAC